AAAGTTATTCAAAAAATGGTCACGGCTCTTATATTTTGAAATGGATAATAGATATAGATCTGCAATTTTCACGATTAAAAAGAGGAAATAAAACCACATCGAATCGTTAATAGCAGATTTTTCGAACAAATTGTCTCAGATTCATTCGTCAATTTTCTCAAATAGAAAACATTGCGTATTATAAAAGTTTTGAAGTTTTAATCTATCTATATATATAATGTTCAGTGTGTATGTCTGTCTGTACTGGATCAAAGGTTAAGGATCAAATAAGGCTTTAAGGGGCTAAGGCAGTAAGGGTGTTAAAGGGTAAGGCTATAAGATAACAAGGCAATAAGTGGGTAAGGCTATCAGGAAGTAAGGCAATAAGGGGAGTAAGGGAACAAGAAAGTAAGGCTATAAGTGGGGAAAGCTATAAAGGGTAAAGCAGCAAGGGGATCAGGCTATAAGGAAGTAAGGCAATAAGGGGAAGGCCATACGGGAGTAAGGCTATAAAGGGATAAGGCTATAAGGGAGGAACATTATAAGGCGGAGACGTTCTAAGGGGATTAGGCTACAAAAAATATAAGGCCGTAAGGCTACATGGGCTATTAGCGATATAAGGATATCACGCCGTAGGGCTTCTATTTACATAATGTCTAGTGTTTGTGTGTCTGTTGCCGAGTGACAGATTAAAGTTTTGAGGTAGTACGATAAAGTAAGAAAGGCTGGTGTGTAGTATGTAGGGGTTCCTGCTAGTTTTCAATAATGCACCAGAGTTGTTAACTAAAATTCTATAATTTATATATCCCCTTGGTCATGAAAAACAAGCTTTTCCGTTTTTCATGACTGGAGGATATATGTCAATAACGTTTGTCAGAATTGGTGGGAAAGGACCGGGTGCAAACTTCTAGACTATATTATTTGGAGATGGTTTTTCATGATAAGAAATACAAGATTTATTATACAATATTATTTATTGAATAGTTCTCACGAAGATAATTATTACGAAATAAAAAGGCACAGACACTTTGATATTAACTACAATATATAAAATATATTTCTCAATTATTCTTTTTAATTTAGACGAAACTCTTTTCAATTGTACTTTTAAAAATCAAATTTCAGCACTTGTTATCGATATTAGTACAAATGGTCAACGAACATCAACCGAACATGTGAATGTACATTTATTTAAACATATTTTGACTATATTCACTAATTTACGATATTTAAATCTTGGTCCATCTTCAATTTGGTATCAACAATTATCATTTGATACTCAATTTTCAACAATGATTTCTTCAAGTCTATTAGAATTACATGTACGTTTGCAAGATTTTATCGATTGTATTTATTTACTTGATGGACGTTTCAATCAACTTCATACACTTCATGTTAATATTACTTATATCATGTCTTCAAATTTAACAATTAATAATAAGGTTGATTATTTTTAATTCTTATCTAATTTATTCAATAAAATTAATAATACTGTTTGTTTTTTTCTTTTTAGGAAAAATTACCTAATCTAAGATTCTTTTCGCTGCGTAGTAATAGGAATACAGATTGTTATGATGAGTTAATTGTACCACTTCTAAATCGAATGTTAAATTTGGAAGAACTAAATTTATTTCTTCAAGTTAGTGACAGACAAAAATTTGTTGATGATAATGATTTAAAGAGAAATATCATCGATCATATGACACGATTAAATAAATTTAAATTTTGTATTTATTCAAGTATTCAGTTTGATAATGAATTTGATTTTCCATCAAATGAAAATATTCAAAAGATATTCAAAGATTTTCAAGATAATCAAATTATTTCTTATATTGATTATTTTCCAAAAGCAAGACAAGGTCAATGTCATAATTATTCATATCCATATGAATTAAAAAATTATGATAAAATAACAAATAATTTTCCAGGTGGATTA